TCATCATTCTCAGGAAAAAACATTTTTTGTTAAGTAGGATACGACACTTTCATAGTATCTGATCAGGCTTAGTGCTAAGATTTCTGATAGGATGTTCACATCTGATAAGTGCATGTGTTATCTGTCGTTCAAGGAACAGGAGTGTAGTGGGTATTTTTGGAACGAATGCCGTCGAATTTTCGAAATACTCTCATTGAGCCGTTGATCGAATTTCCGGTAGCAACGCCAGTCTAAGCTGGAGAGTTAAGAATAGTGCATGGGAATTTTTAACGCCTTCCATTGAGTCTCTACCGTGAACTCACGTAGAACTTTTTAAGACCAACTTTGTCAGCTTAGAAACTTCATTCACTATAAAATGCAAGATAGCATAACAAAAAAGTGTGGATCACAGTTCCGATAGTTTGAAAGGTCGTTGGATCAATTTTTCTTACCTCAACGGCCGTACTGCATGAATTTTAATTTTCGAACTTTATTTGGTTCCATATCAGGGAAAATTCTTTGCGAAATGCAAGTTTAAAAACACTGATAGAAAGATCGCAACGTCTACATCAGACCTGATCAATCCAAAAGCGGTCGGATGCAAATTTTGCGTAGTAAGAAAGCCCACAGGTCACAAAAATGAAACTTCGAAATGCCGAATTTCTGATTGCTTCAGCGATGTACATTTTTTCGCTTTTTTTTCAATTTTCTTACAATTAGAATTCACATGTCTTCTATCCAGACCATACTCTTCTGAGATGGAACTTTAAAAGTTCCGAAGTTGGCAAAAATTTGTAGCCTTAAGGCAGAATGAATTGTTATGATATATATATATATATATATATATATTCGGGAATTTTCAGCGTTTCTCTCAACTATGCCGGTTTATTTTTGGCCGGATTTAACGAGACTAATTTTCGTGTTCTCTCAATTCTTCTCATGCTATCGATCTTCTGCGCATATAAATTTCCATTCGTCCATAATGAATACTTTAATATAAGGTATGCCTTCAAAATTATCGGTCTCATTCGTTTCACCTCCCACAGTTTGAGGCATGAGTTGTCATAAGTACGTTTTTCTATAATGAATTCACGAGCACCTTTAATAGAACCATGAAGTAGCGAGGCTACAGCTGCACTTTTGGATCAAAGGAGCTATTTCCTTTGTGAGTGCACCCTTATAGAGCAGTAGCATCACTCGCAAATGCAATGGCAATCAACAAACAAGCATGAACACAAGGATTCATTGTGACTGATATCGAAATTCACATAATTTAACCTCCAATTTCAGCAGCAATTGTTTATTCATAAACTCAGCTTCTCTTCGCCATGAGTGAAGACTTGACTGAAAGCAATTTATACTATAATGCAGTGCTTTCAGACGATGGAAGATATATTTATGTGTATTCGATGCAGCAGGCATATTATTTTCTATATTTTTCGCCATATTGGCAAACGACTATGCCACGAATTTCGGTTCTTACATTTTGATACCTATATTTATCTTGAATCCGATCATAACTGCGTTTGTTGCAATTCTGGTTGGTTTCTTGCNAGTTGAATGAACATAAACAGCCTGCAAGTCATTTCAACGCATTTAATGTCAGCGAATGCAAGCAGCCCTGATAATTTTTCTGTCATATTAAGGCTGTCTGGATGATCGCTTACGATTACTTCAATGGAAGAATCGGCGCACAGATTAACAACAGAAAGAAAGACGCGTCGCTGCTGATATGTACTATAATTTATGCGATGCCTCCAATTGTTTGTCACATCCCCGCGATGAGTGAGTTTTAGTGTTATTTTATTCGTAAATTCATCAATGTCGTTGACGGATAGCAAACAACACCATTTGTCAGTGCCGTTCTTGATTCATTTTTCATTGTCCTGAACATGAAACGTTGCAAGTTTACAGTGGAGGCTATTGCAATGCTACTGGGTGTAACAGTATTGTCTGGTAATAACACGGTATTCCTTATGTTCAAGACCATGCAGAACATCGATGTTAGTAAATCTTTTCGCAATTTATTCCCGAATATTTGGGTTTTTTTCTTAATCACTGAACTGATTACGATTCTGATGTGATTTCTGGAATTTTGGCATTTAAATTCAAGTTGTTTGAAAGCGTTTTTATCTGTCGTTGTTCTTACTGTCATAACAGAAAGACGAGTGCCTCAATACGGCCGATTAGAACCAGGTTGAGTGCCCTAACCATGCGCTGACACAGAAGTACTTAGGTATCGCGATCAGGCGATCGTCGGAGAAGTGGGATCAGTGGAATAACCTGAAGTTCAGTGCTTACTTCATACTGCCCTCTGAAGACCAAAAACTGCAGGAACTGAGTTGTTGCAGTAGAGAAAACGTTTGATAATTTCAGCGTGAAACGCCTGATGTAATCCCAACGGTGTTGATGTTATCAACAGTGATCTGCTTTCCAGTCTACCGAAATGCAGCGTTGAAATTGTTTGGATATCACAAGGATTCGGAAGATAATAATTTAAATGTTATTCCAATTAAGACTTGTCGAGTCAAGCCCACATTAGGCATGATCACATCGTGAATGACCGCAAAACTTATCGCAAACAAATTCTTTCCTAACAAACCAGGATCAAGTCACATCAACAGAGATTTTGAGCACATGCGATAGCAATGGTGTCAACAGTGTGTTGTGGAAAAGGCGGAATTTCAAGGACCTTGTCCTCGACTTTTCTTGAGCCGACCGTACTTTCTGGGTCCCTAATAGCAAAGTTTCGGTCTCGACTTTTACGGAATTCTTGGGGATCACCGTTCCTCGACATTTTTCGAGAAATTCCTCGAAAACTGATAAAATCGGATGAAGGCGTGATCGAAGCATCAAAGCATCGCTCA